GTAATCAACATAAGTAGTAAAGCATTAAAATATTATAATTTCTAATATATAATTTCAGTTTAAATAATAAATTAATAAAACTATTACACATAGTTAATTTATAAAAATATGTAAGTATAATTATAAAAATAAAACTTGAGATATATAAGAGCAGCTAAGTAAAATAGATAATTTATAAGATCTCTTTGATGGTATGTTATAATGAAGAGCATATTTTATATGTGCAGAACTAACAAATGGAGTAAATGTAAAATTATTAAATAAAAATAATAAAATATTAAAAAAGTAAAGCAACATTCTTTTTCATTTTGATTATAAATAGGCATATATGGTATATAATTAGTTTTAGACTTTTTAATACTTATGTAAGTTATTTATTTTGATTTTAGAATGAACTTATAATTAGTTAACTAACTTTGTATCTAACAAAGAAATGTAAGTCTCTATGATGCCGTATCTTTTATCACCAAATTTGGATATTTTATATCAAGTGAAAATTCTATGTTCAAAATTCCAAAATGACTTTTAGGAAATGCATTTGGCAACCACTCGATTTTAAAACTTTTATGTTTCTAGATAAAAATAAAATATAAATAAATTTTTTGATTATGCTAAATTATGTAAAATATTTCAAAATAAACAAACTGACATTATCTTTGCATTCGAACCAGATGTGTGCCATATACAGAGAAACTTTAGGATATATGCGTTTATGTTTTTCATCAGAGTTGTTGTTAGTTGCACGTATATAAGGAATATATAAGCCATCATTTGTGCGTTCAAATATTCTCTCCAAAGTAATAGAAACCTAAAATGCAAATGTTTTAAATGTACTTTAAACTCAAATTTAATTTTTAAAATAAAAAGTCTAATAAGTTGAGATCTTTCAATATCACGCCAAAATCAAGATACTTAGTTTTAAAAAGTCTTTAAATCAAATCAGTTTAATAAATGTATTCAATTTCAATAAGCTGATATAAATTATTATTTGTTGGATGATGCGTCACACAATAACATAATTTAAAGCTGATAATATGCACGATATTGAAAACGATACTCAACTTATTAAACAATTTACATAATATATACAGATTATACAAACATTTTTGGTGTTAAATATTCTGCGCACTGTGGAAGCAGTAGTAAAGTACCATGTGTATTTTATAAGACCTTTATACTTTCCATTTTTTACTAGTGTCGTGAAATTCGGCATTCGGCGCTTAATACCCACACTAAATTGTTTACTAAAATGCGAAAATATTTCCTGTGGAATTTACAAAAAGGAACCTTTTATAAAAATAAACTATGAAATATGTAGATAACAAATCTTACCTCATGAACATGAAAGCTATGCTTGATATTAGGTTCATCGACAATTTCTACGCTATCGTTAATTATTTCTATGACATACTCAAGCCACGCTGAATAGGCAAGCGAAGGTTCCGCTGCTTCTTCACTTATATCTGTACCCACCCCAACTAATGGAGTTTGACTCTTTGGTGTGTTGACAATCAAAGCTCGTTTAGCTGGTATTGGTGGATATAAACGAGTCTTAACCTCTGTTACTAGTGATGATGCCTTAACTGGGTACTTTTTAACTACCGCTATTGTAGGTAATTCTATTGGTGGTAAAGTTGTTTCTATTGCAGATGGATCTGCTGTAATCAATGAAGTTGTGCTAGCAGTTGTTAAAGTTTTTGGTTTCAACAAAGACTTAGAAACAGTGTTACTACCAGACAAATCGTAGCTTATATTAGTAGATAGGCAAGTATCAGCTGAGCTATTTGTAATAGCTGTTGTTAGTGGTACTGTTGCACCTTGCAATACAGAAAATAAATTTGACTGATCAGCTACTAATGCTGGCAAGGATATATCATCACTGCATAGATCTATTTGATCAGTCAACTGAAATTGATCCATTAGTTCAATATTGCAATCACTAAGTTCCATATGAGTAGCAGTGTCAGGAAGCGTAGCAGATTCCTCTGCTAAGCATGCTGCAACTGTGGTAGCACTACTTATACTATTTATACTATTAAATTGCATGTCTTGATCCTTTTCGTTGGAATCACAACTGGATACTAAATTGGGATCGCCTGCGCAATTAACCGGGTCAATAATTTTACTTTGGCCAGAAGTGCTTGTTGCCGTAATTCCACTTATTGTATTATCAGTTATTTGCTGAAGAGATAACATATCTTCAGGCGTTATGTCAAGTATAACATCGCCCAGATCCGGTAGTGGCATCTACAAAGATAATACATTCAAATTATATTAATCAAACTTTTTGATCATTTTACCTCAAACTCTTCACCAAAAATGAAAATATCATCAGCTGAAGATTGCTCATTTTTATCCCCGAAATTTCCACCAATATTAATGCTTGGACCAAAAAATGCATCCTCCTGCATTGTATCGAGCAAGGGAAGTTCTAAGGTAGTAGGCATCCAAAATGGTTTGAGAGCACTTGTAAAGTTTTCATAAACAGTTTTGCCATTCGGTTTACTCAGGATGGCAGAGAGGACAAGTAAAATATGATCACAAATTTCTTCTTGCATAACCACTGAATTATCAGACTCAACAATAATTTTAAGTTTTTTACAAGCACAAACATGAGTACTAACATGTTTTTTAGCTGACAATTGCTTGCCAGTGGCTGTCACATGTAAATAGCCCATAGGAAAGATTCTCGATTTCAGACACTTTACGACAAAAGCGGTAGCACTAATGCGCTGGACAGATGGAATTTTTTGTTCACCAGCTTTATACAAATCCCATAGACGTTGTTTTTGCTCTGTAGTTATATTTAGATTCCAAACAACTTCTCTTGCAACCGTAAAAACTTCTGCTTTAGGTATCGACTTAGTAGGATCTACACTGCATGCTTTGACGTGATTGCAACTAACAAAACCCATTGTATCACTGGTGTCGTACTTACACGTATCTGCAAAACAAATGGTCTTTCGAGCCATGATCGTGGCATGTTGCGATTCCTTCGACAACGTTACTTCAGTTATATGGACGAAATTGCGAGGCTGTGCATCACGTTCTTTACAGCGTATGGAGTAATAAGTCGAAGCAACTTCTGTTACTGTATTGTCAATCAATTCCACGGGATCAAACGGCAATCTCATTGCTAATGTCTTTTGCCGTAATTTGCAATTCTTATTGTTACATATTTGCGCTCGTTGACCATTCATTTCTCCGCAACTTGAGCAGCGCTTAACACCACGCATTGAGGAACGGATTTTTAAGTTCGAACTTTTGCATAGTGACTTAGATGTTGTTGAACTCATGTTTTTGTTTTTAAAATCACTAACAGTTTTTTGCTATACATTGATTCCCTACTTCTTTATTGTGTTCATTTCTTTCGTAAACAAATATTTCTTGATAAAATATTTCGTTAAATATTTTAAAGAGACTCAAATCAGCTGCCACAGACAGGGTTGCATTTCTAAAGCATTGATTTTTTAATTCGCTGTGTGGATGAAACGAGAGCCAGACTTATTTTTTTGGATTTATTTTTATCAGTTACATAAATAATGAAGTTTTCAATTGGTAAATCTGGATTAAATTTCGATAAACTTTTAATTTATCAAATTTTATTTTAAAGTATTATAAATTTATCTCAAGTATTATACATTTCACTCGAGAATTACCAATCGAAAATGAAATTTGAACTTAAAGTAAATCTCAATTAAAACTCTTACTCCAGGCTCACCCCAAAGTTCAGCAAGGACGTAAGGACGTATTATAATTAAATGTAGCCATGCTAATTTGTTTACTCTAAGATATTAAAATTATCATTAGTGATCTTTAAATAATTAAATTTGACAACAATTTATGGATCGTTAAGGTTTTCAATACTATGTACGTTTTTAAATAAAACAATGAAACTTATAACATTCTGGTGGTTACTTTATTAAGTGCGCACAAAAGCTATAATATTTAGTTTCTTCAATGACTGCTGATTTTTAATACAACACCATTTTAAATGGCTATTAAATCTTTACCGTTAATGCATTTTTGCGAATTATTCTTTTACTGTAGAAAAATAATATGTAACGTAAGGCCTTTGCGGACGCTCGCAAAAACGGCAAAAAACAGCAAGTTGCTGGCCTATAGTGGCCGAAATGTACGCAAAACAACACTATTTTCATCGGCACATCGGCCAGTAAAAAAAAAGTGTTACTACATAATAAGCGAACTATTGTGAACCTTCATTGAAAATTAAACAAAAATTCAAACAAGTTTAAAATGTTTCACAAATTTAAAAAATTGTAGAACTATAATATTTTTTAAAAATATACAAAACTGTGTAAATATATACAAAAATTTATAGAATTACATGAAGAAAGTATAATTGAAAAACTCTATAAGTTTTTTAATTTAATAGTTGCATAAATACTCTAAACTGTTATTAATTTTGTTGTAAAACGAAATTTCAAAATATACTGCCTTTTTTAACATTTCTTTTAGTTCATTATTCATTTTAATATTCAATTTAATATATTAATTAATTTATATTAATTTTAATCATATAAAAATAATTATTTGTTTTTATGCAAAATATAGTTTGCTGCATTATTGCCACATATGTTAGCTTTGCTCTTTGCGAAAATATAAAATTGGACAGATTGCAACAGTGATCCAAACATCTCGCTTAGCGCCTAAAGTAGAGCATGATATAGACGATGCTACATAGATGCAGACGAAATATGCGTACTACCAAATAGCATACTTACTCCGCTGTTGTTATGAACGCTGTAGAAAATAAATCAAAATGAAGTATGCATACCTTGTTTCAAAATGTATAGCGCATCCTTGATCTACATATTTGATGTGCATACATGTAGCATCGTCTATATCATGCTTAAGCAACTTGCTGTTTTTTGCCAAATGAAAGCACCAAACATTGATCAACAAAGATTTAAAGACATTGCGATTTCTTCCATATGGCAACACTGAAATCTCATATCAGATGATTTGCTATTGTTGTTATCACACACAACAGACAATAAATTGGTTCAGAGTTATGGCTTTGTTTTTAATTATACCATTTTTGTGTTTTTTGGTGTCGTTTTCTTCGGAAATTGTTAAATTGGTAATTAATACTTCAACAAACACAATACAAAAATAAAAGGTTTTTGTCTTATAGTTGCAAATACCAAAGATATTATCAAAATGCAACGATTCGTCAGAGCTACGCGAGAAGATGCAATATGCACGTAAAGAGCTGGAAGATGCACGCAATAAAGAATACAGTGGTGAATATGCTAGAACTATCAAAATAATGCGTGCTGAACGAAAACTAACCGACGTAAAAAATGATATATCACAAAATATTCGCAGTGCTCAAATGAGTGGCACCAGAGTCGAACTTATTGGAGGATATGCTCTGAAAGGGGTACTTATGGTGGCATTAATTATAATTTCAAGTTGGTACAGATATGAAGCTGTAGTGAAATATAATTCGAAATTTAACCTTTCCCCATTGGAGAGTATATTAAGTTTTCCAACGAGTGTGCCTTTCTCCATTTCAGTACCTATGTGGGTATTTATATGCAAAATCTCTTGTGGACATATAGCAAGCCTAGTAAAATCAAACATAATTTCTACGCGTAAATAAATGTATAAGGACATAATTATAGTTTAAATTATTTTTTGTTTATTTTAAATATATTTTTCGTTTTTTTACCTAATTTCTTGCTTCGTATATTTTTTTATTTTCCAAGCAATCAAATTGAACTTGTGCTTCAATCCACCGTGCCACCTTGAATAGGAGTTCTTCGCCAAGAGAACGACTCATTAGTTGCAAACTAATTGGTAAACCATTGCTCGCCAATCTAATGGGTAAAGATATTGCTGGTATACCGGCCATGTTTGCTGGTTGTGTACAGAAATCCTGCACTGCACATTGATCGCGATTGGTTTGTTGTATAAAATCTTTATATAATGGAGCTTCGGTGAGTGTAGTTGGTGTCAACAAAATATCTACTTGATTAGCAATATCAACGGGCTGAAATACGTTTTTAAAATCTTCAGCAATAAGTCGTCTTACCCGCAATGCCTTCTCAAAATATTTTTCATAATTTCTTTTTAATAAAAAGTAGTTTCCAGTTAGTATTCGCGTTTTAACTACACTGTTGAAACCTTGTGCGCGTGTTTTTGCGTATAGTTGTTCTGTGCTGTGTTCATCTTCAGCGCGATGTCCATATTCAATACCGTCATATCTAGCCATATTACTAGCTACTTCACATTGGTTAAGTATTGAGTATACAAATATGCTAGCTGCTGTATGAGGTAAAGATACTTGACTTACCTTCGCTCCAGCAACCTCTAGTATATCTGCAATTTTTTTCCATGTATCTAATACTTCAACTGAAAGTCCAGGGCAGTGATATTCTTTAGGTACACCTATGCGTAAATTTCGAATGTCTATTTTTTCTATTGGTGGTACATGGATTTTGTGAAAAGGTTTCTTAATTGTTGTCGAGTCCTTTTCATCAGGACCAGCTATAACATTTAGCACTTCAACACAGTCCGTTATATTTCGGGTAAGTATACCCGGTACATCCATTGAGTTGACTAATGGAATCAGACCATTACGAGAAACAAGTCCATAAGTCGGTTTTAGACCAACTATACCACAATATGAAGCTGGATTACGTGTAGAACCACCAGTATCGGAACCAATTGCACTACAAAAAAAGATGTTTTATTTTATGGTGATATTTAGTAGGATTAGGATAGTTAATCAAAATAATTGTGACATATTCATCATCAGATCTTAACCACCGTTCATCTACTTTAGTCATAATTCTCGTCAGAATCTTATTGGTTGCAAGGGAAATAAAGCAATTAGATCTACTAATGAACGCCTTTATTAATTATGGTAACATGTACAATCTTAAAAAAGTGGTAATAATAGATAATATTAATTTTAGCTTAAATTTAAAAAATACTACGGTCTTAAATTTTTGCGTGCATTTTCTAAACAAATCAGATGTTAAATTTAAGTCTAATTTAAGTATTTTTATTTTATTATTGTACATAGAATAGTGTTTTCATCGAAATCATTTTATAAGTGCCAATACCTACAAAAATTCTAAATTTCAATATTTTTGCCAAGTTGGCAACACTTTGATTTGTTTACGCAATTCTGACATTTGTACAAGCTGTCAAATAGCTCGCTGAGAAAATTTTTTTAAGAAACTGCATAATTAAACGCAAATATTTATTAAAATGTCTGCGCTATTTCGTTTAACTAATCGCTCAATTTTGCAGCGTAGCATTGCCATAAATAACGCGTTTCGAACGATCAAAACCTCACAAAAAAAGGAAGACACAGTAACAACCATTGTGCCAACAACAAAAGAGGATTTTGCAAAACCCGATCCAAGAAACTGGGTAAGCTACGGATTTGATGCTAAAGACCAAACCGAAGATCGAAATGTGACGAAAGCAAGTTTCTTCTTCTCTGTGACACTTTGTCTTGTGTGGGGAACATTCGTTTGGTCGTATTTGCCTGATACACAAATGAGAGACTGGGCGCAACGTGAGGGCTATTTGGAACTTAGACGTCGCGAAGAGGCAGGTTTGGATTTGGTGAATCCAAATTACATTGATCCCAGCGTTATAAATCTACCAACAGACGAAGAACTAGGAGATACCGAAATCATAATTTAATTTAGTTCAATTGCAATACGAACATTTTTAAAGTAACATTGTTATGTAATAAAATATAAGCGAAATATTCGCTAAATAAAATTGTAAACAAGACTTGCGTTGCATTCTGTGTATGTTTATGAAAATAAATACAAAATTCGAAACAATATTACATATTAACAGTAATGGACTTATGTGGATAAATGAGGTTAGGGCCTTTATGTAAAAATGTTCAAATAGAATTAAAAACAAATCGATTTAAATGGAATTGCTACTTACGCGTAACATATGCCTGCAGCAACTGCAGAAGCAGATCCACCTGAACTTCCACCAGATATGCGCCAATTGTTTTCAGTCAGATCTTCGCTCCATACATTCTTTGTAGGGCCATAAACTGAATCTACCGTGCCTGAGCCCATAGCAAATTGATCCATATTTGTTTTACCAATAAGAACTGCTCCGGCTTTTGAGAGACGTTCATATACTGTAGCATTATATGGAGCTACAAAATCTTCAAGCATTCTGTGGAAAGTCTTGAGACATTTACTTTGATTTTTAGCGTATTTATTCAAATGAGTACGCACTTGGAAGCACATGTTGTTTTCACATTTTTGACACAAAAATTGTCTTTCACTGCAATTGTAATGCCATCGACCGAACTGAAAGATTTCTTTTCTTTATATCGGTAAGCCGATTCTTTTGCTTGGTGTAAAGCTAATTCCGGTGTTAGTCGTATAAAGGAATTCAGTACTTTTAGTTTAACTGCATCATCCAAAGCTATATCAGCCACAGTTTTCGGAGAAGTACTGCCATCAGCATAACTTGCCGACAACTGAAAGTGTATTTAGCCAAGTAT